GGGTTGGCCGAGTCCTCTCGGGGGGCTCGGACAGCTCCCGCGCGTGCGGGGCCCGCCTCGGCCCTCTTGGGGCTGCCGCTCAGGGGGGACTCCGGAGGGTCTTCGCCCTTGGGGTCGGAGCGGCGCGCGTGCGGCACGGGCGCGCCCGCGATCTCGGCGGCTGCCGCCGTGCATGCGCCCGTCGGGGCGAGCGGGGGGGCTCCCCCGTTGTAGTCTGTCTCAGTCTCAGCCTCTGCAGCCCCCCTCCTCCTACCCCTCCTCCTCGTCCTCCTGCCTCCTCCGCCTCCTCCTCCTCCTCCTCCAGTGCATCCTCTGGGCAGGAGGTCATATGGAGAGCTGGCGCTGTCGTAGTCGCGTGGAGATGCCGCGGCCACGTCAGAATCCCACCAGGATTAACTACGTGCGCTTGCCGGCGGTGGCAGTTGGGTGGCCAGCGGGCGGTGCTGCTGACTTGGAATCCCCGTTGGTGCAGCGTCAGCACCGTTGCTGACGCCCTCGCCGTGGGAGTCCTCAAGAGGGTGCCACTGAGAGGATACGATGTCGTAGTCGAGCTGAGACCCAACTATCCTTGCCGAACGTGTCTTGCCATCTTCGGCCCACAAGGCCTTCAACGGGCCCCGACCCCGTCACAAACTTGGCGGGATGCAAATGGGGGGATAAGTCCAGGGGGGGAGAGAGGCGCAACCGAGGTACACATTGTACCTACGCCCCACAGAGAAGGTACAATTTGTACCGACGCCACGCAGACAAGGTACAAATTGTACTTTTGACAACGTCCGCGACATGTGCGAGGATGTTAACGGAGGGGAGAAGGTACAATTTGTACTTGCAACCCGCAGAGAAGGTACAATTTGTACCCCAACAGAACGGTACCGGATACTCATCCCCCCATGTCCTGATACCCCCATCGCCATCCGGCCGACAAACGACTCTGGATGAAAAGCCGGCCTCTGGGAGCCACGTGGTGAAACAGCACGACGTGGGAAGTCTGGAACTCCGTAACCAGGCATCCGACGTCGTGATTGTGTCGCAGCTAGGCTCACCACTGGTCACCATCGTCACATCCTGACCGTGCCCCTGATCCTCAGCTTCCTTCTCCGCTAACTCCATCATCAGAGTGAGGGGGCCGAACGGTCTCACAGAGCCCCTGGGTGCGCGGCTGAAAACTGGATCGTGGTTCCGCGGCCAAAGACTACTGTCGCTGCTTGCCGACCCACCCCGCGACCCAGCCACGACCCAACACGCAAACCACCCGCGACCACTCGCCACTGGCCACGCGATTCCCATGGCGACGCCGACAACCCCCCTTCCGACCCACCCACATCTTGATTGAAATGTTAGCCAGCGTGGACACCACAAAGTGATTCCTTGCCCTGTATGGTGTGAAATCGAGGTGGTGCCAATCAAGGTGCGGCCAGCCGGTGGTGCAATCCGCTTGGTGCAATCTATGTGGCGCAGAGCAGCGCAGAGCAGTGCAAAGCAACGCAGAGCAACACAAAGGAAGGCAACGCAACGCAAGGCAAAGCAATGCAAGGCAAAGCAATGAACAACGCAAGGCGAAGCAATGAACACTGCAAGGCAATGCAAAACAATGCACAGCAGTGCAAAGCAAGGCAGAGCAAGGCAAAGCAATGCAAAATGCAAAGCAATGCAAAGCAATGCAAAGCAATGCAAAGCAATGCAAAGCAATGCAAAGCAATGCAAAGCAATGCAAAGCAATGCAAAGCAACGCAGAGCAACGCAGAGCAACGTGGCCACGGGCGGCGACGAGCGGGCCGGACCGCCACCAGGGCCCAGCGGCGACGACGGGCGGCCACAGGGCGGCGGCGAGGCGGCCGGACCGCCACCGGGGGCCACGTTGCCCTGGGGCACTGGCCAGAGCACCCGAGTGCAAGCAGTGCTCTGGGGGAAAGCTGCGCTCATGAAATCCTCGCCGCCCACGCCCTCACAACCTTGCGACGACCCACCCGCAACCCTTACACGCACACAACACACACACACATTCATATACAATTCACATACACACACACTCACACAACACACAACACACAACACACCACACACCACCCACCACCAACCACTCATCACACACCACACAACACACAACGCAGACCACACTCCACACACCGCGCACGACGCACAACAAAGAACACAGAACACAGAACACACGGACAGCACACAACACACAGCACACGACACACAGACAACACACAGCACACGCACACCGCTTCGAGAAGAATTGTGCGCCCGCGGCGGGCTGTCTTGCGCTGGCTCTGGGAAAACCACTGGCCGCCCCCGCCCGCTCGGCGCGCCGACGGCTCGCCCTCTTCCCCTTCCCTCCGCCCCCTACGGTGTTGGCATTGAATAAGGAAACCTTCGGTAAGGATCTCAGGGTCTGGAAGCAAGTGGAACTCCAATCGTGCATCGGCCATGGATATCACCGCCGCCCTTATCAGTCAAGGAACCCTCCAGGGTCTGGAGCCCCCCGGACACATTCCTTAACCAACGCTCCCACCGTATTCTATCACCTGGCTCGTGCAGACCAACCCAGTCCTCCGACGTCGCATTTTTGTTCAAAGCGTGGCTCCAAAACTATCTGAACCCCTTCCCTGGGACCGGTTTTTCATCCTGGACCGTTTCTTGACGGCCCAGGGATGCAGCGACGGGCCACCCGCCTAAACCCACGGGAGGGCACCCACGCATGCAGCAATGCCCATGCCCAAGGCCGTCCACGGCGACAGCACAACCGAAAACCACGCTGACCGACAGCGATGACCGAATTCCGAGAGGCCGCAAGCAGCCTACAAGGGCGCAGCGACGCAGCGACGACACAGCACCCGACCGAACCGAACCGAACCGAACGCAACCGACTGCGACGCAGCCGAACCGACCGAACCGCTGACACCCTGGGATGATCTTCGTCGTCCAGCGTTCGGGCGATGACTCGGGTCCCCGGGGGCCGCTCGGGACGACGCGGGCACCCCGGGAGCGCTCTCGGCGAGCCGCAGCTGCTGGGAGGCACCCCGAGGCCAGCAGGCCTTCAAGAGCCGACGACGGGGGCTGCGGGCACCGCGCCCGCACGTCACAGGGGGCATCCGAGCATGCGGCCACGCACGGCCGGCCCGCCCGCGAATGCCGCGCAGCGTCCTCGAAACCCCAGTAGGACTCCTCCGGCACCTCGGCGGCGCGGCCGCGGGAGCAGAGCTCACCTTCCTCCCGCCACTACTCGGACGTCTACTCCCCGTGCATCTTTCGACTTCGTGCGCTGCTTCACTTGTCGCAAGATGGTCCCAGATCCTCCTGAACGGTCCCCGCCAGGAAGCAGACGCAGACGCCCGAGCGATGCCGAGTCCTGAGGCATACCCTGACCTCCCCACGCCTTGACAAGAGCACGATAAGACGGGACTTGTTGGCTCTTTCCCAGGCAATGCTTGCACTTCAGGTTTGTTTTCTTGCGTGTGTTCACTAACCCTCCTCCTCCTCCTCCTCCTCCTCCTCCTCCTCCTCCTCCTACTCCTCCTCCTCCATGGTGGCCTAATTCGCGTTCGGTGCACACCACCACGCCTCACTCGCCAGCGCAGTGACTCTGCCTGGCCGCCGACGCAAAAAGCGTGTTCACCGAGGACTTGCGTGGGCACCCCGAAGGCAAGCTTGGTGGCAGCCACGTGGCCGCCCCGTGGCAGGACAGCCCAGAATCGAATCGATAAGACGGACCCGCGATCGAAATGGATCGGATCGGCGGAAGTCGGCAGCCGAGTCGGGGAAAGTCGAACCGGCGGACATCGGGAGGCTAGTACGCCTCCCATACGAGGCCGGAACCCAGATCGGAATCCCAAATCGAATCGCATCGAAATCGGAAGCCGTCGCAAGCGACCCGAACCGAGCCTGAGGAGTCGGAGCGAGCCCTGCCGTGGTGGCCGCCCCGTGGCCGGCCGCGGCCTGCCCGCGGCCTGCCCGTGGCACGGCCTGGCGCAGCGTGCAGCGCGCACGGCTCCTGCAGAGCGGGCCGGGAACTCTTGGGCCGCACGGCGGGCGCCGCGCAGGCGGCACCGCGGGAGCGTGCCGCCAGACAGCCTGCATCAGGTCGGGCATGTCCTCCTACAGGCGGATGTCCGAGGAAAGGTGGAAAGATGGCCCAAACAGACTCGAAACCAGTCTCAACAAAACAGTCGGAAAGTCCCCCCCTGGGCTGTCGTTTGACGAGTTCTGAATATTCCTCCTGTAGAGGGGCACGCCCGACTTAAAGCTTGCACCACACAACTAGCGAGGCAAGCAAGCAGTGGCATAAGCATACAAAGTCGGAGGTCCGCGCGAATTTCTCGGATCGGCGCTGGGGCCCCCTGGCGGCGCCTCCGGCGCCGCGATCCAGCGCGGATGCAAGAAATCCGCGCGGACCTCCGAGGTCTTATGTGTATGTATTCGTTGTTGGTTCCCCTAACGTAGGTTGCACCACGGAACGTGCACCGCACAGCTTGCACTTTACAACTTGCACCGCCTAACTTGCACCACATCCCTTGCACCACGTAGCCTGCACTACCTGAATCGTCAAGGTAGACCCGCCCTGCGATAGTTCGTTTGACATACAAGTCTGCCCCATCGCTCATTTTCCACGCGAAATCCGATCATCCCAGGAGGGCTGGGTGTTGAGGCCCCCTGGTCCTTTGTCGAATGATACCATTCGCGCACTCTCTTTCATATGAAACATCCGCCGACTTGGCGTGTGAGTTTCAAAAAGCCTGAGCTGCAACCTACAGCCTGACGTTCAGCTCTGATGGGGGGGGTGGCTCTGCCGGGGAAAGGGGAGGAGGTGCGCCTGTGCTCCGCTTTCTGGGCGGGGCTGGGACAGATAAAGATCCGCCAACTTCCCAGCCTGGGGGCCAGAGCGCCCAAGATGGCCGCCAGATATTTCCCAGACGGCTCAAGATGCGCCCAAGATGAGGATGCCCTCCAAAAAAGGCCCGACGAGGCCCAAATCATTGATTCCGCGCATGCTTTTGTAGGATTCTGGCGCAAAATGGCCCACGCTGGCATCCAAAAAGGCTCCGTGGGCGCGACGAAAGTTGGCGGCGAGCGCGGGGGGGGAGTGAGAAGAGGCGGGCCTTCTAAGAAGGCTCGGAAGGCCTCCGGCCTACTGGGAAGTCTTACGAGCCTTCCCCGACGACACAGAAAACTTCTCAAAGGCTGGAGGGCGTCTGAGAAGCCGGGCCGCCTTCTGAGAAGGCCTGATCCTTCTCACTTCCCCCCCATCGGAGCGTGCGCGCCGCCGAGTACGTCCTCGGACGCTCGTCGAGGTCGTCCTGGTCGTCGTGTGTCGTCGTCAGTCGCCCTCTTGACGACGACGACCACCACCACCACCACCACCACCACGACCACGACCACGACGACCACGACGACCACGACGACAACCACGACGACAACCACGACGACAACCACGACGACCACGACGACGACGACGACGACGACGACGACCACGACGACGACGACGACCACCACGACGACGACAACGACGCTGACGCGAGGTTTTTTCAATGCGGGGTACCCGGAAATCCGGACCCACTCCCCAAGACTGGCGTTCTGAGTATCGCTTGTCCACGGCCCCAGAGCCGCGGCCAGGGCCTCTCCGAGAGAGCTCGAACACCCGCGCAACCCTCCGCAGTCCGCGGACAGAAGAGCGAGAGGGGCCAGGCTGCCCGTCGGGGAAGGAGCGACCATCGGATGCGAGAAAACGGGCCGCCGGCGGGTCGCTCGAGAGGGGGCGCATAGGGGTGCCAGGACGAGGACAAGTTCGGGTGGGGACAAATCGAGAATCCCTGAGATCCGGCGGCTCTGGAGCAAGAATCGGGCGTCGCGGTCTTCTCAGAGCGTTCTGGAACGCCCTGAGAGCGTTCCGGAACGCTCTGGAACGGATGCATCTTCGTCCTAGCCCCGTCCGATGCTCTCAAAACCCAATGTGAAACCGTCCGCCGCAGGCGACGAAATTGTAGGGAACAACTACTAAGATGTCTGCGCGGAAACGATAAGCCCGATTGCAAGCAAAACGCAGCTCAGATTGAGCCAGAGTGCGTGTAATAAGGCCTGATGAAATTTGTGTCGGCTGGGTTAGGGCAGTTTTTCACCAACAGAAATACCAGCGCCGATGCTGAATTTAACCTCCCAAGAACTGCAACTGGGGGTTTGCGTCCCTCCTGCGGTGGGTTCTCGCTTCGAATAGAACCCTGCTCGCGCAACCTACTCCCGCCCATCCTCAAATCTCCTGCCTTCTGCATCACCAGTTATTTCCAACTATCGCTCTGGTCTTAACCGCGTTTGGAATAGGGCACTGGTTGCTCGAACCTTCCTCCTCCCCCTCCTCGTTCTTCCTCTCCCACTCCTCCTCCTACGTGCCTCCCTCCTCCTACCTTTTCTGCTCTGGGGCTGCGAACTGCGCAACTGTCGCCACTTTCGTGGGCTCCTAGGAGGTCCGCTGGGGTGGGTAGTCACGCGGATCCCTGCCGGACTCGCGGATCCCAGGCGGGCAGCAAACTGCGCAACTGTCGCCACGTTCGTGGGCTCCTGGGAGGTCCAGCGGAGTTGGGAGGCACTGGCAGATCCCTGCGGGACCCCGCGGCTCCTCGGGGAGGCTGTCACTCAGCACGCGGCGCTGTTGCCTCGCGGAGCCAACGGAGCGCTGGAACGCCACGTGGCGCGTGTCGCCCCACCCCTTCTCGGCTGCGTGCCGCCCGCAGCAGCAGCAGGGGTGAACCAGACAGATGTGGCGCATGGCGTTGTTACCCCTCCAGTATTGACACCCTTTCCTTCTCCCATCCTCGTCCTCCTCCCCACTCCCTTTCCTATTCGAATTCTGTCTCCCGCTCTATGATTTTTCTCTCGGTTGCCGTCCCCGTCCCTTTTTGCGATCTGCGTTGCGCATGTGTGCGACGCGCGTGGCCCGACGTTTTTCGGCGAAGCATTTTAGATTGCTGCAGATCTCGCAACGTGTTCTTCTGAACGAAGCGTTGATAATATATTTATGTCACCTGGCCTGGAAAAGGGGTCGGGTACGTCCCGGGTAATAATGGCGGTGTGGGCAGGTCGTCCCGCCGCAGCCCGCTCAATGCTGATGATCAAGACGACAACCACGACGACGGCGGCCGACGACGACGACGACGTCGACGATGATCCGCACGACGGAAGCGACGACGACGACGTCGTCGACGGTGATCCGCACGGCGGAAACGACGAAAGCGACGACGACGACGACCGCCGCCACGAAGATAACGACCCCGACGCCGACGTCCCCGCGGCACGACGGCGTGGCACCCCCGCGGCATACCGGTCCCTGTCTGGCTTGAACGCGAAGTCGTCGTCCCAGCTGAACACCCAGCCGGCAGACTCCATCTGACGCCTCGGGAGGACTGAGGGAGGGAAGGAGGGAGGGAGGAGGCGAGGGGAAGGGAGGGGAGGACGACGACGACGACGACCGCGACGACGACGCGACGAGGAGGAGGGGGAGGAGGAGGAGGAGGAGGAGGAGGAGGAGGAGGAGGAGGAGGAGGAGGAGGAGGAGGAGGAGGACGAGGAGGAGGAGGAGGAGGACTCAAGGTCTGGGGGACTCTCTTGCCCCCCCGCAGGGCGCCCCTCGTCGCCACGGCTGCGGTCGCCTCGAAATCATGGTCGGCACGCACGGGCCCAGGGGTCGGCAGTGGAGGCACAAAGATCGCTCCGCCTCGTTTCAACGGCTCTGGGCCTCCGGAGGCCCGCTGTCGAGCCCGGCGGCCCAGCGAGAAAAACTGGCCCCAATGAAGGGGTTGGGAGCTCCAGGGGGCCCGCGGTGGATTGCGAACAAACACGACGCCGGAAATATCCCAAACGCCCAACAGAGTTGAATCATTAAACGCCTTTTAAGTGTCTCCTGCTGACCCGCAGGACGAAGCCTGTGACGCACCGCGTTTTTTTGTTGTCATTGGGCTTTGGATTATGGGGCGCTGTCTTCGCGGCAGGGGAGGCCCTCTTGGAGCTCCAATGCTGTATTGAGAGATGTTGGGGTCCTCCTGGAGCTCTTTTGGGGCACCTTGTGCCCCTCTTGGGGCTCTGCGGGGGGTCTCGAGGTCCCCTTGGGGCTCTCTGGGGGCGCCTCGGGGCCCTCCTGCGGCCCTCTTGGGGCTCTCTTGGGGCCCTCGGGGCCCTCTTGGGAGCTCTGGAGCGCCTCCTGGGGCCATCGTGGAGACCATCGATCAAAGCAGGGGGGTCCTCGATGTCCCTCCCCCCTCTCCGGGGCCATCGAAATAGCCTCGTGGGGCGCTCTTGGGGCCCTCTTGACGAGGGGCTCAAGAGGCCCCCAAGACGGTCCAAGAGGGCCCCGAGGCTCCGAAAGAAAGACCGTCCCAAGACGCCCAAGATGGTCCCAAGATGGCCTAAGATGCCTCCGAGACGGCCCAAGAGAGCCCCAAGAGCCTCCCCAACAGAAGCCCAGGAGGCCAAAATCAGTGATTGCCCACTGGTTGTTCAATGATTTTGGTGTTCTCGACTTTTCGAGCTCCCGACGCCACAAGACGGCCCAAGAAGCCCCCAGGAGGGCCCCAACACGGCCCAAGAGGGCTCCAAGACTGCCCCAGGGGCGCCCAAGACGACTCAAGAGGGCGCAAAGACAGCCGCAAGAAGAGCCCAAGAGGGAGAACATGAATCGAAAATCCAAGGCTCCCGCCCCGAGGAGGCCCCAAGGAGGCCCCAAGAGGCCCCAAGAGACCAAAACGGTTCCCAAGAGGCCTCAAAACGGCCCACAAGAGGCCCCCCCCCGCGACATCCCGACGAACGTCCATGAAGCCTCAGACCCACAACCCAGGCACGGTGGCGGGATTGGCCGAAGGCCTCTAGATCTGCCGCCCCCTGTCGATTCATCGCAGAGGTGCCTGGCGTGCTAGACCCTTTCGGTTTTGGTTTCGGTTCTTTTTCCGAAAAAAAAACTCCCCTCTGGGGCTTCGGCCCGCCCCGCTGGCCACCCGGAAAGGTGCTCAATCCGGAAATTATCCTGGCGAAGGACCCAACCATATGCAATTGTGAATACTGCAATTATGACTATCTTCTCGGTGGAGCCCCCTACGGGGCCACGAGACGTGTGAGGGGTGTGCCGAAATGGGTGTGGCTGACGCATGTGGGCACACCCACTGGGGCCTTCGGTGGAGCTCTCTATGGGGCCACGAAACGTGTGAGGGGTGTGCCGAAATGGGTGTGGCTGACGCATGCGGGCACACCCACTGGGACCTTCGGCGGAGCTCCCTATGGGGCCACGGAACGCGTGAGCGGCGTGCCGAAATGGGCGTCGCTGACGCATGCGGGCGCGGGCACTGGAGCCTTCGGCGGAGCTCCCTATGGGGCCACGAAACGTGTGAGGGGTGTGCCGAAATGGGTGTGGGTGACGCATGCGGGCGCGGGCACTGGGGCCTTCGGTGGAGCTCCCTATGGAGCCACGAAACGTGTGAGGGGTGTGCCGAAATGGGTGTGGGTGAATGGGCAGTGGTGACGCCACGCGGGCGCGGGCACTGGGGCCTTCGGTGGAGCTCCCTATGGAGCCACGAAACGTGTGAGGGGTGTGCCGAAATGGGTGTGGGTGACGCATGCGGGCGCGGGCACTGGGGCCTTCGGTGGAGCTCCCTATGGCAGCCACGAAACGTGTGAGGGGTGTGCCGAAATGGGTGTGGTGACGCATGCGGGCGCGGGCACTGGGGCCTTCGGTGGAGCTCCCTATGGAGCCACGAACGTGTGAGGGGTGTGCCGAAATGGGTGTGGGTGACGCATGCGGGCGCGGGCACTGGGGCCTTCGGTGGAGCTCCCTATGGAGCCACGAAACGTGTGAGGGGTGTGCCGAAATGGGTGTGGGTGACGCATGCGGGCGCGGGCACTGGGGCCTTCGGTGGAGCTCCCTATGGGCCACGAAACGTGTGAGGGGTGTGCCGAAATGGGTGTGGGTGACGCATGCGGCGCGGGCACTGGGGCCTTCGGTGGAGCTCCTTATGGGGCCACGAAACGTGTGAGGGGTGCCACGCAAGGCACGGTGGAGTGAAAGGGGTGTGCCGAAATGGGTGTGGGGGGCGGTGCACTGGGGCCTTCGGTGGAGCTCCCTATGGAGCCACGAAACGTGTGAGGGGTGTGCCGAAATGGGTGTGGGTGACGCATGCGGGCGCGGGCACTGGGGCCTTCGGTGGAGCTCCCTATGGAGCCACGAAACGTGTGAGGGGTGTGCCGAAATGGGTGTGGGTGACGCATGCGGCGCGGGCACTGGGGCCTTCGGTGGAGCTCCCTATGGAGCCACGAAACGTGTGAGGGGTGTGCCGAAATGGGTGTGGCTGACGCATGCGGGCGCGGGCACTGGGGCCTTCGGTGGAGCTCCCTATGGAGCCACGAAACGTGTGAGGGGTGTGCCGAAATGGGTGTGGGTGACGCATGCGGGCGCGGGCACTGGGGCCTTCGGTGGAGCTCCCTATGGAGCCACGAAACGTGTGAGGGGTGTGCCGAAATGGGTGTGGGTGACGCATGCGGGCGCGGGCACTGGGGCCTTCGGTGGAGCTCCCTATGCAGCCACGAAACGTGTGAGGGGTGTGCCGAAATGGGTGTGGGTGACGCATGCGGGCGCGGGCACTTGGGCCTTCGGTGGAGCTCCCTATGGAGCCACGAAACGTGTGAGGGGTGTGCCGAAATGGGTGTGGGTGACGCATGCGGGCGCGGGCACTGGGGCCTTCGGAGGAGCTCCCTATGGAGCCACGAAACGTGTGAGGGGTGTGCCGAAATGTGTGTGGGTGACGCATGCGGGCGCGGGCACTGGGGCCTTCGGTGGAGCTCCCTATGGAGCCACGAAACGTGTGAGGGGTGTGCCGAATGGGTGTGGGTGACGCATGCGGGCGCGGGCACTGGGGCCTTCGGTGGAGCTCCCTATGGGGCCACGAAACGGTGTACTGGGTGGGTGAAGAGGAGAGGAGGAGAGGAGAGGAGGAGAGGAGAGGAGAGGAGAGAAGAGGAGAGGAGAGGAGAGGAGAAGAGAGGAGAGGAATGATGATGATAATGATGATGATAATGATGATGATGATGACGATGACGATGATGATGATGACGATGAGGATGATAGGAGGGGAGAGAAGGCGGAGGAGGAGAGGAGGAAGGAGACGCGGGGCACCGTCTCTTCAAAACGAGGACCCAACACCACAGGATGGTTGGGAAAAAATCTTCCAAGATGGCTCAAGATGGTGCCAAGATGGCCACGTTGGCCCAAGATGGCCTCCAAGATGGTCCACGATGACCCTCAGGATGCCTCCAAGATGGCCTCCAAGACGGCCCAAGAGAGTCCAAGACGGCCCAAGACGGCCCAAGAGGCCTCCCAGAGGCCTCCTAGACGGCCCAAGAGGCCTCCAAGAGGTCCTCCAAGAGGGCCCGAAGAGGCCAAAATCATTATGTTCCTTAGGTTTTTGAAAGATTTTGGAATGTGCTTCTTCTCGGCATTCCGACGGCCCAAGACGGCCCAAGAGGCCCCCAAGATCGCCCAAGAGGCACCCAAGAGGGCCCCATGACGGCCCAAGAGGCCTCCAAGATGGCCCCAAGAGGGCCCCAAGACGGCCCAAGAGGCCTCCAACACGCCCAAGATGGCCTCCAAGACGCCCAAGATGGCCTCTAAGACGGCCCCGAAGCGCACCAAGAGGGTCCCCCGTTGGCCCAGAAAGGCCCCCAAGACGGCTCCCGACGGCGTCAGACGTGCCAGGAACCCACCAAGATGGCCGAAGTTGGCTCGAAGCTGGCCCAAGAGGGCCCAAGAGGCCCCCAAGAGGGCCTCCAGGAAGGCCAGAAGAGGCCGAAAATCCGCCGACCCTGTCGGCGTGTGCGAGGGGCTTCCTCGTCCGAATCGCCGCCCCCCCCTCTTCCTTCCCCCTTTTGTCTTCTTTGGCCGCACCCTCCTGCCGTCACGCCGTTGTCGATTCGAAGGGAAGCCCCTTCCCTTTGATCCCTTCCCCAGGGGGGGGGGGATCCCGGGGGGGGTCCCGGGGGGGTTCCCGGGGGGTTTGGGGGGGGGGGGAAAGGCAGATTCGTTTTTCCTCGGGCGGCCTCGAAACCTCGAAAACACTACAAATGAGGTCCGAATGCCCAAGATGGCCCCCGAGACGGCCCAAGAGTGCCCCGACTCTCCCAAAGATCGGCCGAAGACGCCCAAGATAGCCCCAAGACCGTCCAAGAAGCCTCCAAAACGTCCCAGGCCCCCTCCAAGAGCACCCCCAAGAAGGGCCCCCCCTCCGACATCTTCTTCTTCTTCCTCTTCTTCGTCTTCAAGGTCGGCGGCACCGGCCGTAAGGCCTTCGCAATATAGATGTTCCTACGGTTTTTGACGGATTCTGACATTTCCTTTTTTTCGGCCTTCCGACGGCCCGAGACGGCCCAAGAGCCCCCAAAGATCGCCGAAAGATCGCCCAAGAGGCCTCCAAGACGGCCAAGATGACCTTCAAGATGCCCACGTGTTCCCCGAAGGCTTTCCAAACCGATTCGGGGAACACATGGTCCGATGGCTTGGCAGGTCTGGCCTCAACGTTCGGCCACATAGGCGCTTCCACAAAGGCAGGGGGCGGCGGTGATTCGCCGTAGGCGTCTTCGATCCGCCGCCCCCTTTTGGTTTATCAAAGGGGTGCCTGGCGTGCCGAATTTTATGGCTTTTGGTTTTGGTTCTTTTTCCAAAAGAACTCCCCCTGGGGCTTCGGCCCGTCCCGCCGGGGTCCCGGGAGGATTGCCCGGGAGCTCAATTCTCCAAATGTTTCCTCCAAGACGGCTTAGATGGCCGCAATATGCCTCCAAGACTGCCCAAGATGCACCTAAGACAGTTAAGATGGCCTCAAGATGGCCCAAAGAGGCCTCCAAGACGGCCCAAGAGGCCTCTAAGACGTCCTCCAGGAGGGCCCGAAGAGACCAAAATCATTGTTATTCTGTAAGGTTTTTGAAGGATTTGGGCATTTGCGCTTTTTCTGCTTTCCGACGGCCCCAGACGACCCAAGAGACCCCCAAGATCGCCTCAAGATCGCCCAAGAAGCCTCCAAAATGGCTCTGTGACGGCCCAAGAGGCCCCAAGACGGCCCCAAGAGGGCCCCAAGACGGCCCAAGAGGCCTCCAAGACGCCCAAGATGGTCTCCAAGACGGCCAAGGTGGCCTCCACGATGCCCCCAAGACGGCCAAGATGGCCTCCGAGACGGCTTAGATGGCCCCAGGATGCCTCCAAGACAGCCCAAGATGCACCCAAGAAGACGGACTTTGATAAACCCAAAAGGCCCCCAAGAGGCCTCCAAGATGGCCCAAGAGGCCTCCAAGAGGTCCTCCGGGAAGGCCCGACGAGGCCAAAATCATTGATGTTCCTATGGTGTTTGAAGGATTTTGGCATTTGCGCCTTTTCGGCTTTCCGACGGCCCAAGAGGCTCCCAAGATCGCCCCATGATCGCCCAAGAGGCCTCCAAGATGGCCCCATGACGGCCCCAGAGGCCCAATAGACGACCCCAAGAGGGCCCGAAGACGGCCTAAGAGGCCTCCAAGACGCCCAAGATGGCCTCTAAGACGGCCCTGGAGCACCCCAAGATGGCCCAAAGTCGGCCCAGGAAGGCCCCCCAAATGGCTTCCGACGGCGTCAGACGGGCCAGGAGCCCACCAAGATAGCCGAAATTGGCTCGCAGCTGGCCCAAGACGGTCCAAGAGGCCTCCAAGAGGGCCTCCGGGAAGGCCAGCAAAGGCCGAAAATACTAACTTCCTCATTTTGGCCTCCTCTAAGGCCAGCTAAGGCCTCCTCTAGGTTTTCGAAGGATTTTGACATTTGCTTCATTTCGGCCTTCCGACGGCCCGATACGGCCCAAGAGCCTCCAAAGATCACCCAAGGATCGCCCAAGATGGCCCCAGAACGGCCCAAGAGGCCCCCCAAAGGGCCCCAAGAGGCCTCCAAAACGACCCAAGAGCCCTCCAAGACGTCCTCCACGAAGGCCCGAAAAGGTCAAAATGGCCTCCATGGGCGGCCAAGATGACCTTCAAGATGCCCACGTGTGCCCTGAAGGCTGTCCAAACCGATTCGGGGAACACATGGTCCGATAGCTTGGCAGGTCTGGCCTCAACGATCGGCCACATAGACGCTTCCACCAAGCCAGGGGGCGGCGGTGATTCGCCGCAGGCGTCTTCGATCCGCCGCCCCCTGCTGGCTTGCCACAGGGGTGCCCGGCGTGCTGAATCCTTTCGCCTTTGCTTCTTTTCGAAAACTCCCTGGGGCTCCGCCCCGTCCCGCCAGGGTCCCGGAAAGTCTGGGAAACTCTCCCAGAGCCTGTTGCCGAGGTTTTTCCTGCTCCAGACGGCTTCAAGATGGCTTCCAAGATGGCCAAGATGGCCCAAGATGGCCTCCAAGTTCGCCCAAGATGGCCTCCAAGTCCGCCAAAGATGGTCCAAGATGGCCTCCAAGACGGCCCGAGAGAGTCTACGATGCCTTCAAGTTCGTCCAAGAAGCCTCCAAGACGGCCGAAGATGGCTCCAAGATGGCCAAAGACTGGCCAAGAGGCCCCCACGAGGCATCCAAGACGTCTTCCAGCAAGGCCCGAAAGGGAAAAATCATTGATTATCCTCAGGTTGTTGATTTAGGATTTGGCACTTTCTTTTGCTCAGCTCTCCGACGGCCCAAGACGGCCCAAGAGGACCCCAACATCGTCCCAAGAGCGCCCAAGAGGCCTCCAAGATGGCGCCATGACAGCTCGAGGGCTCCCCAAGAGGGCCCCAAGAAGAGCCCCAGATGGCCAAAGATGGCCTCGAAGGCGCCCAAGATGGCCGCCAATCAGGCGAAGATGGCCTCCAAGATGCCTCCAAGACGGCCAAGAAGGCCTCCAAGACAGCGAAGATGGCCCCAAGATGCACCCAAGACGGCGCCATATGGCCTCAAGACAGCCTTAGACTGCCCCAAAGGCCCGCAAGAGGCCTCCAAGACGGGCCAGGAGTCCTCCAAGACGTCCTCCAGGAAGGCCCGAAAAGGGCCAAAATCATTGAGTTCCCTTTGGTTGTTGAAGGATGGTGGCATTTTCTTCTGATCAGCTCCCCGACGGCCCAAGACGGCCCAAGAGGACCCCAACATCGTCCCAAGAGCGCCCAAGAGGCCTCCAAGATGGCGCCATGACAGCTCGAGAGGCCCCCAAGAGGGCCCCAAGAAGAGCCCAAGATGGCCAAAGATGGCCTCCGAGTCGCCCAAGATGGTCCAAGATGGCTTCTAAGACGGCCCGAGAGAGTCCAAGATGCCTTCAAGTTCGTCCAAGAAGCCTCCACGACGGCCCAAGATGGCTCCAAGATGGCCTACGACTTGCCAAGAGGCCCCCAAGAAGCCTCCAGGACGTCCTCCAGGAAGACCCGAAAGGGTAAAGGCCATTGATGTGCCGTAGGTGTTTGAAGAATTTGGCATGTTCTTCTTATCAGATCTCCAACGGCTCAAGACGACCCAAGAGGCCTCCAACATCGTCCCAAGAGCGCCCAAGAGGCATCCAAGATAGCCCCATGACAGCCCAAGAGGCCCCCAAGAGGGCCCCAAGAAGAGCCCAAGGCAGGCCAAGATGGCCCCGAAGACGCCCAAAATGGCCGCCAATCAGGCGAAGATGGCCTCCAAGATGCCTCCAAGACGGTCAAGAAGGCCTCCAAGACAGCGAAGATGGCCCCAAGATGCACCCAAGACGGCCTCAGATGGCCTCAAGATGGCCTTCGACTGCCCCAAAGGCCTGCAAGAGGCCTCCAAGACGGTCCAAGAGCCCTCCAAAACGTCCTCCAGGAAGGCCAGAAAGCTCGGGAACCACCTGGTCCGATAGCTCGCCCGACTCCATGTTCCCGAAAGCTTTCGAAACCAACTCGGGGAACGCGTGGCCTGATAGCTTGGCCAAGCTCAAACCCAACTTTCGGCCACGCAGGCGCTTCCAACAGGCAGGGGGCGGCGGTGATTCGCCGTAGGCGTCTTCGATATGCAAATGTACGAACATCGATGTAGAGTTGCGGTATATGTGTGTGCATGTATGCCCATGCATGTAAATCAATATATATATATATATATATATATATATATACATATACATATACATATACATATACATATACATATACATATACATATACATATATACATACACGTATGCAAATAGATGTGCGTGTGTCCATACATATATACATACATACACACATACACACATACACATACATACATACATACATACATACATACATGCATGCATGCATGCATGCATGCATGCATGCATGCATACATACACGAACGCACAGACATGCATACATGCATGCTTGCATGTAGACATGCATACATGCATGCATACATACACACATGCATGCGTACAGACATGCATGCAGACAGGCAGACAGACAGACAGACCGACGCACAGACGTACAGACACACAGACATATCATCATACATACATGCGTGTGGACCGGCGCCGGCTGGCCCACGGTGGCAGCAGGCCCGGCCGCCACCGGGGGCGCGCGGCGCGTGTCCTCGAGGAGAAGTCGCTCGTCGCGTACGAGTCCAGGCAGCTAGCCTGGCGCGGGGGGGGCGGGGGGGGAAGGGGTGGGATGGGGAGGGGAGGAGGGGGGATGAGGCAAGCTAGGAGGAGGAGGAGGAGGAGGAAGGAGGAGGTGGGAGAGCGAGGAGCGAGGAGCGAGGAGGAGGAGGGAGGAGGCGGGGGGGAGAAGGGGTGGGATTTGGCGGCGCGCACAAGGGGTAGGGGGAGGGGGGAAGGCTTCTTAGAGAGAGAGGCTGCTTCCTAGAAGGCCCGGGCCCTGCATCTACAGAGAAGGCCCGACGCTTCTAAGAAGCAGGGGTACATCTAAGAAGCCTTCCCCCCTCCCCCTACCCACCTCTGCGCGTTGCCGAGGGATGGGGAGGGGGGGAGGGGGGATGAGGCAAGCTAGGTGCGCTAGCGTCACATCTGACGTCCTACCCCTCCATCTATTGGCACAGTCGGACGTCTTGCAGGGCAATAGTCCCAAGAGGGTACGCGATGGATATAAAAGCATGGCGTGGAAGTACATGGCAGAGCATCGCATGACATAGCATGACGTGGCATTGCGTAGTGAGGCATTGCATCACAAAGCAGAGCAACGCAACGCATGGCACCGCACAACGTTGCACAACACAGCATCGCGTTGAATGCCGTGGCATGGGACCGACGGAGGCCAGCACCGACGGAAATGAGACCACCGCTGCGGCGGGAGCGCGATTTAGAAGGACTGGAGCGCGGGAACGAGGCCAGAACCGAAAACGGGAATGAAGCCACTGTTGCAGCGGGAGTACGATTTGGAAGGACCCAAGAACTGGAACGAGGCCAGCGCTACAGCGACAGCGCTACTTGGAAGGCCCGAACATGCCAGTGCCTGCGGGAACACGGTTTGGAACAACCGGAGGGGCGGGAACGAGGCCAACGCTGCAGCGGGAGCACGATTTTGAACGACCGAAGCGCGGAAATGAGGGCGGCGCTGCAGCGGGAGCAAGATTTTGGAACAAGTGGAAACGATCGGATCGAAAAGAAAAACAGGGAAAACCAGATCATGAAGTCCTGTGCGCAAGATACGCGGAGAGGACGGAACACTCTCCGGACGGACTTAGGGGGAGAGAGGAGTGTAATATTCACATTGTGTAATTGTGGAGGGGGGGACGGGCGGAGAGAGGGGACTGCACGCCACCGAGGGGAAGGGGTGGGGGCGAGAGCTCGTCCAAGTAACCGAGGGGGGTCCATCGGAGAAGACCTTTTCGTCACCGCGGGTGGCTTCGACAGGCCGCCCGCGGGCCAGCGACAGGACCCCCCCAGGAAAATAGGTCGTCGGCCTCTGCGGGATCGATCTCCGCACGAACAGACTTCCCGAGCTCTCGGGCTTCATCGGGGGGAGGGGGGGAGGGGGGGCAGGGGGGGGAGGAGGAGGACGACAACTACTATCCTACTGTACTGTGCTTCTGGTTGTTTCTGGTCATGGGCCGACTGCCACGCAAACCCGAGAAACCCGCCGGACCTCCGAGTTTTTATGTTTGTGCCATTCTCCGTCCCCCCCGGGAGGTTCTCCCGCGAGGCGTGCGGGAGCCGATGCGGCCCACCGCGGGCGGCGCTCGACGCCTTCTGCGGGCGCGCTCTGCGCCCTCTTGGTGCACTGAGCGGCGCGAGGCGTGCGGCCACGGAGACTCTCAGGTGTGCACAGGGCGCGTCAGGGCCCGGGGCGCTGAGCCTCGTGCCACTGGAGGACTTTACCCGCCGGGTCGGGCGTGTCCTCCTGCGGGCAGGTTTCGAAAGAACAGTCTAGACAACAGCCAAAGGATGCTCAAAGGTAGCCAAAGGTACCAGAAAGAAACATCGTCCCCGTACTAGTCTTTGACTCTTCTTGGACGCCCCCCTCTGTAGAGGGACATGCCCGACTTCACTTTGCTCGCCAGGTCGCGACTTTCCCCGGCGAGACGCCTCGGAGTCGGACGCCGTGGCCTTGCGCGCGCAGGCGGGTCACGGCAGGCGCCGCGGTGAGCGCCGTGGCCGGGCAGCAGAGCGGGCGGCGCGGCAATCTGCTCTCCCGCTCGCCCGGCTCGCCGACGAGGCGCGGGAGAGTCCCGTCTCGGCAGCTGGCAGGGCTGCACACGGCCAAACCCCCATCGGTGCAAGGACACTTAGGTTCAGGTCGGGCATGTCCCCCTGCAGGCGGATTTTGATCGAACAATGAAAAATAGTCCAAGCTAATAGTCAAGCAGATTCGAAATTTGCTCATTATCCCAGTGCGACCCTACCTAAGAGATGGAGCATCTAGGAAAGCAACATCTACATTTACACCGACAGCTACATTAACATCTACACATGCATCTACATCTACATCAACATCAACAGCGAGACTCACATCTACATGCTAGGGTACGCTCGGCAACGCTGTGTTATGCTAGGCTCTGCTATGCTATGCTATGCTATGCTGCGCTATGCTATGCTATGCTATGCTATGCTATGCTATGCTATGATATGCTGCGCTATGCTATGGTATGATAGACTACGCTATGATATGATATAATGCGCTATGCTATGCTATGATGTGATATGATATGATACGGTATACTGCGCTATGATATGCTATGCTATGCTATGCTATACTATGATATGGTGTGCTATGTCGTGCTATGATGCGTTGTGCTATGCCAAAGAATGCTATGATATGATATGATGTGCTATGCTGCGCTATGCTATACTATGAGTTGTTATGATATGATATGATATGATATGCTGCGCTATGATGTGCTATGTTATGGTATGATTGGCTATGATATGCTATGCTATGCTGTGCTAATGCTGCGCTGCGCTAGACTATGCTGCGCTAAGATAAGCTAAGGTAAGCTAAGCTATGCTAAGCTAAGCTCAGCTAAGCTAGGCTAGGCTAAGCTGAGCTAAGCTAAGCTAAGCCAAGCAAGCCAAGCCAAGCTAAACTAAGCTAAGCTAAGCTGCGATAAGTTAAGCTGCGATAAGCTAAGCTAAGCTAAGCTAAGCTAAGCTAAGCTAATCTAGGCTAAGCTGAGATGAGATAAGCAAAGCTAAGCTAAGGGGACGCAACTGGGGGAACCGCGGGGCGGGGACCGGGGGAACCGCCCGGGGCGGCCTACACTGCCCGGCCCCTTTAAGCTAACAAAGTAAGAACCCTCTAGGCAGAGCCTATGTAGGGAATAAGCTAAGCTAAGATGAGATAAGCAACGCTAAGCTAAGGGAACGTCACTGGGGGAACCGCGGGGCGGATCCTGGGGGAACCGCCCGGGGCGGGGAGCACTGCCCGGCCCTTTAAGCATACAGGGTAAGAACCCTTCTAGCCAGAGCCTAGGTAGGGAACAATTATCCCAGTGCGACCCTACCTAGGAGTTGGAACCCCTAGGAGCTAAGCAGCAGTTAAGTAGTAACAGCTAAGCTAAAGCTAAGCTAAAGCTAAGCTAAAGCTAAGCTAAAGCTAAGCTAAAGCTAAGCCACAGCTAAGCTAAAGCTAAGCTAAAGCTAAGCTAAAGCTAAGCTAAAGCTAAGCTAAAGCTGAGCAACAGCTAAGCTAAAGCTAAGCTAAAGATAAGCTAAAGCTAAGCTAAAGCTAAGCTAAGGCTAAGCTAAAGCTAAGCTAAGCTAAAGCTAAGCTACAGCTAAGCTACAGCTAAGCTAAAGCTAAGCTAAAGCTAAGCTAAGCGCTAAGCGAAAAGCTAAGCGAAACGCTAAGCGAAGAGCTAAGCGAAACGCTAAGCTAAAGCTAAGCTACAGCTAAGCTAAAGCTAAAGCTAAAGCTCCCAGGGGACTGGGGGGAACCGCTCCCAGGGGACAGGGGGAACCGCCCGGGGCGCTTTGCACTGCCTGGCCCCTTTAAGCTAAGAGAGTAAGAACCCTTCTAGGCAGAGCCTAGGTAGGGAAAAACATCGTCCTGAGACTATTTCTCACTATTTGGGAATAATCCTCCTGTAGAGGGACAGGCCCGACTTAAACATAGGGAAGGAGTACAAGGATGCCCGACCCACCATCCCCCAGGCGCAGGGACGTTTTTTGTTTGAAGGGGGGGCGTAATGCTGCCCTCACTCGACGGGGACTTTCGAGGCATCTATGCTCCTGTTCCCTCTTGTCCTCCCTCCTCTCGGCCTCCCTGTGCTCCGAGATGCTTGCTTTATCCCATGTGCTGGCGAGAAGGCATGTATATGGCGGATCACTCTTACGAGGAATTGCATAACTTATTCCTTGGGCTATTCCACGTGTGCGCACGTTGCGTTGCAATGCTTAGCCAAGTGCGATGTCCTGGATAATCGGAGAGATGTCTGAATATGACTTCCTGGCGACTATATCAGATCATTTCGATTATGAAGGGTAGTCCCCAAACAGTGCTTGCACTCAGGGGTTCTTGCTTCTGTGGGTCTGGCGAGCATTCGCAGCGTTCCCGGTCGTTGCCCCATCGTTGCCGCCCGTTGCCGCTGGGGGGGTCTGGCGACGACTCGCCGGCGTCCCGCCCGTGGACGCCCGTGGCAGCCTCGTTGCCGCCTCGATGCCGCCCGCTGCCGCTCGGGGTGCCCGGCGAGGTGTCGTCCGGCTCCCGCCCGTGGCCGCCTCGTCGCCGCCTGTGGACCGCCTCGTGGCGGCTCGGGGGGCCTGGTGAGGAATTGCTTCGTTGTCGCCCGTTGCCGCCCCGGCGTCGCCTCCTGGGCTCCCGCATCCCGTGGGGAGGCGCGAGGCGTCAAGAATACGACGGCGCGAAGAGTCGGGGCCCTCTCTCGTCCTCCTCCTCCGCCTCCTCCTCCTCCTCCTCCTCCTCCTCCTCCTCCTCCTCCTCCTCCTCCTCCTCCTCCTCCTCTTTACAATTGACTCCTCCCTGTCGCACTCTCAAACGAGTCGGTAGGGCAGGCCTGGCGTTGCGCCTGAGACCTCCGGACCATTTATGATCCTGAAGCTTGAAACTTGCAACACCTTCGAGGCTGGTAGGCGGCACGTTTGCAAAATGTGGCTCTCGCCTAAGTGCCGCGCACATTCACTTCAAAAGCTTACAGCGCTTACATGGATGGAGTGCAGCACGTTTACGAAGTGTGGCTCTCGCCTCAGCGCCGCGCACATGCGTCTTTCATGTTTGTCACAGTTTCGAGGGTTCGTATGGTTGAAGTCCCATGAATGGTGTTATGGCACGGCTTAGCATTGCCAGGATGCAAGAATCATGTTGCCTCGCGGCATCAGAGTTCCAGGAATGGTGTTCGGGCACGGTTTAGGTTTGTCAGGACGCAACAGTCACTTCGATTCGCGGCGTTGAAGTCCCAGAAATGGCTCTGTGGCACGGATGGAGATTCTCAGAAGGTTGCCTTCCACGGGGGCACTTCCCGCATGACAAATAAATCCCACCAGCCCTTTTCGTGCGTGAATGGCGTAAAGCGTTTCTCTTCCCTCTTCCCTCTTCCCTCTTCCCATTCGGGGAAAGGTTTACCCCTCCCCTATCCCATCCCCCTGGGCTTGGAGGGGGCGTTCCGCGAGGGGTTGGAGCGTCCAAGATGACCTCGGCGAGAAGGCCAAACTCCTCGATGTGACCAACGTTGTTTTGGCCACATGTTGGCCTCCTGGGGGGGAGGGGGGAAGCAACGCTGATTAAGGAGACCCCTCCTTTGACCGATCTCCTCCCAAGGTGGCTCCAAGATGACCCCCGAGGCTCCCAAGAGGCCCCCAAGAGGCCCCCAAGAGGCCCCCAAGAGGCCCCCAAGAGGCCCCCAAGATGCCCCCAAGAGGCTCCCAAGGGGCCCCCCAGAGGCACCCACAACGCCCAAAGACGCCTTCGCGGGAAGGCCGAAATCATTGGTTTCATCAAAATGGCACTCAAGTTTTGGCCATATGTTGGCCTCCTGGGGGAGAGGGGGCTAATTAAGGAGTCCCACGCCTCTGATGGATCTCCCTCAAGATGGCCCCAGGATGACCCGCGTGGCCCCCAAGGGTGCCCCAAGAGGGCCCCAAGAGGTGCCCAGGATGCCCCAAGAGGCCCCCAAGAGGCCCCTTAAGATGCCTCTAAGAGGCTCTCAGGAGACCCCTCATCTCCTCCTCCCGTTCCGTCTGGGTTCGGTTGGGGCAGCTGGACTTGGGACTCCTCCGCCTCCTCCTCCCCCTCCCCCTCCTCCTCCTCCTCCTCCTCCTCCTCCTCCTCCTCCTCCTCCTCCTCCTCCTCCTCCTCCTCCTCCTCCTCCTCCTCCGCCTCCGCCTCCGCCTCCGCCTCCGCCTCCACCTCCACCTCCGCCTCCGCCTCCGCCTCCGCCTCCGCCTCCTCCTCCTCCTCCTCCCCACCCTCCTCCCTCCTCCCTCCTCCTCCTCCTCCTCCACCCTCCTCCTCCTCCTCCTACCTCCACCCCTCCGCCTCCCCCTCACTCCTCCGCCTCCTTCTCCTCCTCTCCTCCTCCTCCTCCCTCCCTCCTCCCTCCTCCCTCCTCCCACCTCCCCCTCCCTCCTCCTCCTCCTCCTCCTCCTCCTCCTCCTCCTCCTCCTCCTCCTCCTCCTCCTCCTCCTCCTCCTCCTCCTCCTCCTCCTCCTCCTCCTCCCGCCCTCCAGCGCGCCTCCAAGCGAGCCGGCGCGGAGGCCTTGACCTCGAAGGAGGGCACGCCTCGGGAGGCCGGCGGGGAGGTGCCAAAGAGGGCAACGGTCGGGGGCGAAAATCAGATGCGTACTGGTCCACGGCCTCGCGGGCCAGGCCCCCAGGCCGCGACCCCGCTGGAGGAAAAAGAACTATGCACATACACCGATTCTGGCCAGGCCCATCCTGCGCCCAGGATCGGTGCATAGGCCCTCCTACCTTGGCCAGGAAGGCAGATGCACCGACCCTGGGTCAAGGATGGGCCTTGCCAGGATCGGTGCATGTGCATAGGTCTTCGCCGGACCCGCGGACACTAGGCGTTTCTTCGCGGAGGCCCCGCGCGGAGCGTATCCGTGCGACCGCGTATCCGCGGGATCGCGCCCCAGAACCTAGACCGCGAGGGCGTGGGTCTGGATACGTTGACCGCTCTTGAAACGGAGGAAGGGGCAAGCGTTAGGTCGGGCCTGCGCCCCTACAGGGGGAGTCCGGACAAGAAATCAAAATTGCCAAAAAATGCTCCAACATATGTTCGAGCATAGTCAGAAAATCGTTTATTGTTTGGCTATTTTCGATCATCTTTTACCCGAAATTTAAAAACTGAAAAAAAACTCCAAACTATACTCGGAAGTAATCCAGAAATCGTCCCTATACTATCTTTTTTTGACTATTTTTGAATATTCCTCCTGTAGAACAATCGTACTCTACCATCGTTTCGTCCGAATTGCCAAACTCTTAAACGAAAATTGTCAAACGATCGTCCCTATACTATCTTTTCGCCCCGAAACAATCGTCCCTATACTATCTTTGACTATTTGGATACTCCTCCTGTAGAAAAATGGTCCCTATACCATTTGTTTCATCCGAATTGTCGAACTCTTACTCGAACATTGTCCAACAATCGTCCCTGTACTATCTTTTCGTCCCTAGACAATCGTCCCTATACTATGTTTGACTATTTTTGGATGTTCCTCCTGTGGAGGGACAGGCCCGACTTCGGGCCAGCGGCAGTCACCAGCGTGGGACTGGTCGGGGCGGTGCGGGCTCTCCCCGGGAGCGCGCTCGGCAGGCGCAGCTACGGGGAGGCGTCCCCGAGGCAGGAAAGCCGTCCACGAGACCTGTGCGAGGAGGAGGAGGAGGAGGAGGAGGAGGAGGAGGAGGAGGGGGAGAAGGACACGCTAGGTGCTCTCGCGTCATATCTGACGTCCTACCCCTCCCTCCCATCCCTTACCATGGCGCTGATTTTCTCTATCCGCGGACGCGTGTCGTAGCGGACCTGTGGCTACCGCGCGCGCGTGCGTAGTGGGTGGGTGCACGTGCGTGCTGCGTGCGTGTTGTGCGTGGATATTTCGTGTTGGGTGGTGGTGGTGGTGGATGTTGGTGGTGGTTGGTGGTGGGTGTGTGGTGGAGGTGGAGGTGGGCGTTGAGGGTGTGTGTGTTACTGGTGCATGCCTTCAACGTCTGCTCTTGATGTGGGTTCTTTTCGATTGTGTGGTGGTGTGGCGGAGCGGCGCGTGGGTATGTGCGGGCGGAAGGGGAGATGTAAGGTACAGATTGCTAGTGCGTGGTGGTTGTGGAGGTGTGGTGGTGGTGGTGGTGGTGGTGCGGCGCGGTGGTGGCGGGCGGATGGGCGCGCGAGAAAGAGGCCCGCGCTGGGGCGAGAACGCATCCTGAACGACGGAGGCCAAACACCGATCCGAAAATGAGGCCCACGCTGCAGCGGGAGCACGATTCGGAACGATTCGGGAGCAGAAATGATGCCGGCGCCTCAACGAGAGCAGCATTTTGGGAAAAAATGACGCCGGCGCCTCAGCGAGAGTCGTTTCCCGGGATTTCCCGGGCATCCTGTGTGCAAAAAACAATACGCGGAGGGTGCGCGGCCATCACCCGGACGCCATCAGGGGAAGAGGGAGAGTATATTCATATTGAGTAA